TTTGGATGGGCTCTGGTTGGATTTTTTTTTTTGTACAATTTTGAATTGATCTATCCCAAAGCCATGAATCCAAAACATTGTAAAATGCTAATTCGAGTTTCTACTTAGGCTCTTCATGGCAGGACACCTCTCTATGGTTGCAATTTGGGCAGGTCCAATCCAACCTGAGATTTTACATGGGCTAGGGACTGGGTCTGTGCTAGAAAACTCGAACCTGACCTATATTTGGGTTGAGACTCTGGGTAGCCCAAGTCTGGCCCAACCCAACCAGAGCCCACCGAAAAAATATGTACATATCTATATTATATTTATATAAAAACTTGTTATTTTCTAATTATATATACATATGTATAAAATATGCATATGTATATTTGTAAATGAAATCTGAACATATATTCAATCAATTTTATCTTAAATTGCTCCATAAAACCCAATAAACATAACTTTGTAAAAATATATACATAGATTTGTTCAAACCTGACCAATCCACCCAGGCCTGACTAACCCGGTCCAGCCCAGCCCAAGGTTGAACCCAATTCGAATTGTGTTGGGTTAAGCTCAGACTGGGCCTAGGTTGATAAACTTGGGCTTAACCTCAGGTTGAGTTAGGCCTGAGCCCAAGGTTTGCACCTTTAGAATTGGGTTTGGATTGATATTCAACCCAACACAACCCGCCCAAGTTGCACCCCTAGCACTCTCTTCTATTTCAAAGACGAGAAGAGTGAAAAAAAGGAGCTTGATTTAGCTCCTTGAAGGACACAAATGTCATTTCAAGCATATTTTTTAACCACCATTGACCCGAACCATTCAACCCAAAAACCGGTTAGAATACGAATTCCATTTCACCCGCAAACTGTTCTTTTGTCAAAAAATCTATTTAATTGGTCAGCAACTCACTGACTTGGGCAGTGAAATTGTTGGTCCATTAGACCCTAATTAACAATGTTTTTAACTATTTTATTTTAATTATTTTTAATTTTTTAAATTATCATGGGTCAATCCGGATGGTCAAACCACTGACCCAAAAACAGGTGGCCAAATCGATTTCAATTTGAATCGGTTTTTAAAACATTACTTTCAAGTGTCCCAAGATGGAAATAATCGATTTCAATTTTTTAAATAATCAGCATGAAATGATCAACTGCTGATCGAGCCCAAAAAAACAAAAAAACAAAAAAATTAGCAATGCAATGGAACTTGAAAATTCCATTCATTTATATTATCAAAAATAGGTTTTCCGAGCTTATCGAACCCAGATTCCAAAAGACAGAAGATTTTGCGAAGAACATGTTTCAAATGCCCTCTTTATATCCCAGGAACTGTTATAGGATAATTCCTCAAGACTGATTGGACTGGACCATATTGTAAATAATTATTTGAATCCTAATTAATATATATATATATGGATAGGAATTTCTTTTGAAAAAACGGAAGGGGCTACACCTGATATTATGATTCATTCGCATGTTAAGACGATGACACTCCTCAATGATGTTCTTTAATGTGCATAGGCGGTTCATCTTCTAAAACAAACACTCCATGATGAATTTTGGAATCATCCTCAATAATAATAGGCAGATCAGAAAAGACCATAGCAACATTGTGGGTTCCAACCAATCCAGGCTTTGGCAAGTTAACAAAAGTTACAACAATGGAATATGCTTTTACATTCAGGACTCTATTAAAATGGTCTCTTGCAATGCATTCCACAGAGCATATTATACATTTAGCCAAGAATTAAAGTATCAATATCGGATATCGTATTGAACCACTTGGATAGTATGATTTGCGAATTCATGGATACGGAAGAAAAATGTGGATAAGCTGAAAAATGTATATATATTCCATAAATATATTAATAACATTATATTTAATATCAAAATAGCCATAATTAATGTATAAATACATAGAAAATATATATAATGAAAGTATATGTGAAGAAATATACTACAATTAATATAGTAGGATGCATAGAAATCATAAAATTTTATTGATAATGTATCAATCAAGAATCCTATAACCTATTATATATATTTTCTAAAAATTAATACATGCATAAAGCATATATTTTCTATTGAATTTCAAGGCACAAAACATATGTGATGAGGGGTAAGTTGGCCTGACCTAGTAATCGAAGTACACGTGAACTCGATCAGCCACTAGGATGACAACTCAACAAGGGAAGCCTTGCTAGCAGTTCGGGAGCTCGGAACCTTGAGCACCTCGTCATAAAGGCACCTTGGTACCTGATCCAGTTCGGAGCCAAAGAACCGAAGTGCAAGATCGGGGCCAAAGAACCAAAGTGCCACATAATCGACTCTAGAAGCTTCTCCAACGGACTCCTAATTCCCCAGGTTCACAGCATTCATTAACAAGGTTCATCCTCACCTCGCCCAAATCGAAGGGAATTGATAAACCTTATCAACTGGTGCATTGCTCTCCTTCGGAAATGGAATGGATCTTATCTACGCAACCCGGAGATGCCAGAGCCTTTTCGTAGGATTCACGGCTACTCAACTATATAAGGGCATCAATCCTCAAAGCGAAGGTACGCACGATTATTTGCTCACTAGCACTCTAGCATTCAAGTATTCAGCCCGCATCCATAATATTGTACTGACTTAAGCATCAGAGCGACCTCGCTGGGTTAGCCACCCCGGGTTCCCTGATCTATTATCTTGAAGCTTGGTTCAGCTCGTCACGCAACTGGTGTTCAGATCATCTTCCAGCTAGGATTATCCAGATCACGCACCATCAATATGCAACTATTGTATGTGAATTATTATATCAATTACTTTATATTTTACTATTTTTAATATTTAATATTAACTAAAAATCCAATTAAAAGTTAATTCTCAAATGTTTAGTTAACAATATTTTTATTTTTGTAAACAATAAACATATTATTTAAATTGTAATTAAAATATCAATTAAAAATTTATAAAAATACAATATCAACTTAAAATATATCAAATATATTAAATTTTCTAAGATACATACCATATACAAATTCATAATTTTAACTACTAAAATAATTCTTCCATTATTAATATTTTTATTTCCGTAAATGTAATGAGATAAAAAAATCATTTTTTTATATAAATATAGAATGTTTTTATATTATATTCTTTAATATCTTGTAAATAATGTTTTTATTTTTATAAATAATATATATGTTTTTTTAATTCAAATTAAAATATTAATTAATAATTTATAAAATTTTAAGATACATATCATGTTCAAATTTATAAATATTAAGTAATAAAATAATTATTCTATTATTAATATCTTTATTTGTATAAATTTTATTGAAATTAAAAACCATTTTTTGATATAAATGTGGAGTTAAGAAATTATTTATTCTATTAGTTTATAAAATATTGCCTTTGAATATTATTTTTTATTTACTTGGAATTATTGAACACATGTATGTTATTTGTTTACATTTCATGTGAATGTAGATGCTAGAATTGATAAAATGTTATTATATTTCATCTATTCGTTCGGATTTTGTTTTTTGGGTATTCGGTGCTATCTTTCCCCTCATCCCTTTTTCCCCAAAGTACTAGTTGTGGGATTTGATTCCACATCAACGCTGGAACAAACTAGCTAACACACCAACGGGTCAGCCCCTGATTGGTTATCATCCCGATATTTAAATCCTTGCATTTAGCACGCAGGAGTATGGCTTAGAATTTAGCTACCCCCTCACCTACTAAAAAAATGAAAAGAAAAGTCATCAAATGTATTAATTTGTTCCACAGTCTTTAATCTCTCGCTTTATGTGCACTAATGATGTTGTTATTAACAGCTAAACCGTGGTGGCTTAATTGGTAGAATAGAGAGACCTAAGATCACCCGGAAATCAAATTTGGTCCTCATAAAACCATTTTCACACTGTCCTCACAACCCTTTTAGTTATGCATTGAAAATATCTCTCCATGAATAAAAACATACAACTAATCCGTGGCCATATTTCTTGAATGAATGAGTTATATCAACACATTACATTTAAGTTTTATTACTGCATCCGTAAGGTAAACCACAAGTAATTTATCATTGTATTGGCATACAATATAGCCTTCTTAAACAACCAAAGATGATAAATTGATAACTCGTTGTCATTTTTTGGGTAAAATACAAAAACCTCCTTTGAAGTTTCTAACAATCATAAAAGTCTCTCCTATAGTTTCACTTAAGCAAAAACCTCCCCTGAACTTTTAAAAAAATTGAAAAAAACCTCCCTTCCGTTACTGACTCAGACGAAAAACATTTATCTATGCATAAAACTTTCCAAATACCCATTTTACCCTTTTGTAAAATGAGTACTGAAATAACTAAGAGATGAAGAACAGTGGCGGAGGGTTTCTTCTTGGTCTGTACGAGAGAGTGATGGAGTTGGATTTGAGATTGGGAGACGCCTCCAGTGCCTTCGCTTTTGCGGACAAGAGTCATAAGGTTAGCGCCAAAGGTCTAAGGTTTTGCATGAGCTTAAGTGTTAGGATTGTTAACAGTAGAGAGGACAAGAAACTAGAAGCTGATGAACGGGATTCTGCTTTAACGGATGCAGATGAAATGGAGGAGGAGAAAAAGCATTCTACCAATCCACCTATTCAGCTTGATCTTCTCCCTCCTGGTCCCGTCCCTTGTAACCCGCCTGATCCGGCCAAGCGTCCACCGATATCTCCACTTTTGTTTTGTTATATTTGTTCTGTTAGGCGTCTTCATGTATTATTCTCCCTCCTGTTAGCTTCTCGTCTGCTTTGTCTTTTTTTTTTTTAACTGATCCCCATTAGACCGAAGGAGGAATAGAAAGCAAAGAAACAAACAATGAAAATGAAATAAGAAGAAGAAGCCATCAAAGGTTTGAGAGGAAAAACCAGAAAGAGTACCATTAACATAGTCAATAACAGTTAGATTTTCAAGAGTTAACAGCGAAAACGAGAAAAGCTAGCTACTTTCTCAGATATCTAAATATAACAAGAAGAAATAGCAATTCTTCAAGACAAGTTATAGAACAGAGCTTCCCATATCTCTGAAAAGACCTCAACGATCACTTTGTGATGATGAAGGGAGTTCAACGACAAAAAGCAATGCAGAAGCTGCTCGAGATCCTTGGCTGCAAATATCTGCTTTTCGATGATCATCTCCACCATTGATGTCCTGAAATCACTGTAAGGATCGCTGGAGCGCTTCACTGCTCTTCTCCGTTCAGCTCTGGTTTCTGATCTCCGGCGAGAACTCTTCTTGTTTAGGTGACGAGACTCCGAGGAATCTGAAGAGAAGCTCCTCGAGGAGAAAAACGTCTCTGTCTCGTCGTCTAGTTCGTCTTCACTGCTGAACCACCCACCACCATTAATTTTTGTAGACGAGGAGCTGAGATGGTAGAAACTCTCTTTCTTCTTGTACTTCCTGTGGGTCTTCCTAGTCTTCTTCGACCTTTTCTTTCTCTCCTTTGGTTGAAATTCCTCAAAACTATAGAATGAATTTAGAGGCAAAATGGGTGACGCAGGAGGACATGTTCTTCCTCCCATATCACCCGACACGAAACATGGGCCATGTTTCGATACCTTCGACCTCTGTAACACCTCCTTTGGAGCGACTGTGATACTCTCGTTCCACGCCACCTCCATTGTTTCCGATTGTTTCCGACCATCTGGGTCTGCACATAGATGGAAAAATTCGAACCTTAGGAGACGAAGGCTCAAGCAGATGGAAGTCTCGGCTGTTTTGAGCTACGAAAATCGGTTTTTCGATAACATCTGATATGTTTCGAGGCTTTCAAGATCCAAATGAAGAACGAAACATGCGAGAAATCCGCATCTTGAGTCGAGCCTCCATCTGAGGGACAGACAGACAGAATAGTTTGAGAGAGTAGAAGGCTAGTCTTCTTCAGGTATTTTGAAAAAAACATCCCTTTAACGTTTTCCGTCTTGGTGGTTGACGGAAGGGAGATATTTATTAAATTTTTCAAAAATAAAGGAAAGATTTTTGTTAAAGTAAAACTATAAGAGAGGTTTTTATGATTGTCAGAAATTTTAAGAGAAGTTTTTGTATTTTACCCTAATTTTTTGGTTAAACTATACAATTTAATGTTTCTAACTTCAATCCTACAGTCAGTACATGAGACACATCACCTAAGCATACTCTTTAATTCAACCAAATAAATCCATACACAACTATATGGGGTTTGAAATTACAATTCAACCTATTGAAACTTTTTTCTTTCCATAAAAGGAAAAGGCATTTTTACCACCTAATGAAATACCTTTAAAACTCATCACTTTTTCATTTACAGCTTATGATGTAGGAAGATCACTCAAAATAATTATTGCTGTAATTTTTTTTTCTCTTGTTAAGAAACAGAATATGTATTAAACCCAGAATTTGGAAGGTGGAAACCTTTCTGTCCTGCTTGGAATAGCCAAATAAGGGAGGAATACCCAGAAAGAAATTACTTTCTTTTGGTGAAACAGAAAGAAATTACTTATGGTTTTATAAATTCAGAGTGATATTAGCAAAGGCTTTAATTTCTTAGAATATTTGGATTAATATAACTACGACTCAAATCAACCTGAATGGCAGAATTCCAACCACTTGGGTCAGCTACATGTATCCTGTCTGACAGTGTTTTCTTTGGTTTTTCTCTTTCTCATGAGTCTCATTGCAGTCCAAATTTGAGCTGGTGAAAATTTACACCCAATTCAGATTTGCATAAAAATTTGTTTGTATTATTAAATCTAAAATCTGTACTCCTTGGCATTACAAATTTTGCATCACAAAAACTGATGCAAAATTTGTACCACCTTCCTCCCAAACAAAAAAC